TTAAATTGCAAACTCTGAGTTATATTTTGTTAAAAAATCTAGCTGTGGCACAGTAGTTAGTGTGCATGCCTCAGAAGCAAGAGATCAGTGTTTCAAAGCCAGATCTGGGCAAGTTTTGCAACATCAGTATAAAAAGAGGTGTGAACTTTTTATTTGCATATATGCAAATAGTGCAATCGCTTTTTATTTTCCTTTTATTTTATAATGCTCTTTTGTTGTGTGCATTTTATTTTCTGCGATAAGACCATTAGGACTTATGGCACTTAAAATAAAATTTAAAAAAGTCAAATCACTTCAAATACAAGATGGGGAAAAGGGTTGATAAAAATATCACAAAATGTCACATGGGGATGGGGAGAGACTTAAAAGGTCAAGAAATCACATATTATTTGAACTTTTTATTTAAAAGTTGAAGCTCAAAAGTTTCCATAATGAAAATAGAATCTCAAAGAATTCTATGAAGAAAAAAAAGGAATCCTCGCCTCCACTTTTGTGAAGGCGAAGAGGTTGAATATTTAAGTTTAAAAATATATATTTTTTGCATTTAAAAAAGGTATTTTTAGGTCGTAAACATATCAAATTATTATTTTTAATCACTATGTTTTAAAAAACAATGAAATTCGTAAGCCATGTCATATAACCTTCAAAATATAAACTTCAATAACAAAAATATTGTAATAATTTTTCAACTAATCAATAAATAAAGATCATAAAAAACTAGCAACTTCAGACATTGTGTCTCCATTTAGTTACTTCAAATATTTTGTCTTTGTTACTTCTTCAGTTAAACAAAAAATAACGATCATAAAGCAAGTTACTTTAGACACAACGCCTCCATTTAAACATTATGTTGTTACAAAAAATTCTTATTAACAGTGCAGTTAAATGTATTTTGTTCACATTTAATAAAAAGTATTTTAAGATATTTTTAAAAATGTGCAACTTTAAGAAAAATATACTTTAGTCCATTTAGAAATCTGCTCACACCTGTTTTTAATTTAATACTTTTAATATATTAATTTTAATACAATAGTTACACATAAACAATCTTTTTATTGTATATTAATTTTAAAAAGAATTATTAAATTTTTTTTAATTCTGCAAAAAATATTCATATTAAGAAGAATAAGAGAACAAACTCATAGTTAATAATAATTTTTTAAATGGTTTTTTAAAATTAATATTAATTAATAATTTTTGCTATTATTTAATAAAAAATAATTCATAATTGTATTAAAATAATTCATAATTGTACTAAAATAATTCATAATTGTACTAAAATAATTCATAATTGCACTAAAATAATTCATATTTGCACTAAAATAATTCATAATTACACTAAAATTATATGCATAATAATTGCAAAAATGACTTCAACAAAATCACATAAAATGTTTTGAGTGAAATATATGTTGAACTATTTATTTCTTCGTCATTTTCTTACTTTACATTTTACTTTATGTAAAAAATGAAAAACAATTTATAAAAAGAACAAGTTAAAACTCTATTAGAAATTAATAAAGAAGGTAAAAAATGTAAAAAACTTAGAAGCTAGTTCAACTTCAAGGAATGATGATGAAATTCAATTAATTAAATGATGATGAGATTCAATTAATTAAACAAATAAAGCTGGAATTTGATATTAATCAATTAATATGAGAAATCATTCAATTAATGATGCATAATTTGTATTTGGCATCAGCTGAATTCCAAATTGTTATAAATCGTCACAGCATAAAACGCTACATTAAACATACATGTGAAAATATTTTTTTTCTCATAATCATAAAAACTGAAAATATTCTTATATAGTTGATGTTTGATAACACTTTTAACATTAAATTAACATGCTTAATTTAAAGACAAGTTTGGAGTCTAGATATTCATGGTAAAATTATCAAAAAAAACTTTTCATAATCATGGTTGAAAGGAAAGATATAGTATTGATGTAAAATATTTCTTTACTACTATCCATAAAATATTTCAAAAACAAAATGTACAAAATGACACACTGTACTGCGACAAAAGCAACCTTAATATTAATTCTGGAATTTAGGTTAATTTTTAGGTAAACTCTTCCAACCAAAACAATATTTTAAAAATAACCTATTGAAAGTTTTGAAGTATTTTCAATAGGCAATTTTTATAAATTACAGGCTGAGTAATTATTCCATGGCAAATCTTTCAAGTCAGTTTCGAGCAACTGTTTTCTGTGCTAAAATACATAACTCCATACTGTTGTATCTTGATATGGACCAAACCTGATCTGGACTATTTGATCAAAGCACAGTTTTGAAAATTTCATTTTTAATTAAAAAACAAAAAATTTAAATTTAATTAAAAAACAAAAAATTAAAAGACAAAAAAAAATGAGTGTCCTTTATATGTAGGTACAAACTGTCTAAATCCTTAGTTGATGTAAAGTTGAAACCTGAGTAGATAAATATTTCAGTAGGACATGATCAATAACATTTCATTCTCAGATAAAACCTATGTGTCTCTGTGTGTGTTTGTGTGTGTGGTAAGCTCTTTCTTGGTCAGAAATCTTAAATTTTTGGTGAAAATTAATAGAAACGTTGTATTTTGACAACTATATTTAATTAATATGTACCAGAACAGATTAGAGCTAGAATCTATAGAGGGTAAAAGGACTTTTTAAAAAGATTTTAACTAAAATCAGGTTAATGCTGTTGAGCAAAATTGATCTAAAGAATCAAAAATGGTGTTCTTTAGTTCACTATTAGAGGTAATAAAAAAGTTTTGAAAATTATATAAAAAAGTTTCTTTAAATCCTATAAAAAGCTGAAGCAAAAAAATTATAACATTTAAAGTTCTTGTTTGGACATAATATGCTGACAAAATCATGCTAATTCCAATCAAAAGAATTTGAATAATTTAAAAAATTGTTTAAACTACGCTGAGTAATAACTATCATTTTTTGAACTTTAAAAAAAAAAAAGTTTACAAGTTTATGAGAAATTGAAGAGAAAATATAAAAATCAATTAAGTTACACACAAATGAATAATTTAATAAAAAAGAAACCTTGGCATCCATTTCACTATACATCACTTCTACCTCTTTTAATGAGAAGTTACAAAACTTTAAAAAACTTGTTATCACTGAAATGAAGTTGTCATTTTCATCTTTGATCTTATTGTTAATCTGAAATTCTAATTCCTAAAAGAAAAAATAGTTTTTGAAAAAAAGAAAAAAAAAAAAGAAAAGTAATATATATATATATATATATATATATATACATTTAAAAAAATTGAAATGAAAAAATACAACTTTTAATGGATCTTAAAATTTCATGCCTTTCTGCAATCATCAGTCATATTATTCAAAAATGTAAAATAAAAACCATTATAAAAAAATACAAGTTAAGCGTTGCAATGGCAGTTGACATTATATACATGTGATCTGGTATTTGTTAATTGCCGGGACCAAAGTGAGATAGTAAAAAAATTTTCCTATGCCTGCATGCTGAAACCAATTCACTTTTTTTGTTCAGTAGGGATTCACTATTAAAAGTCATAGTAAAATACTTTTCATAAATGCAAAGGTTGCACTTTTTTGTGGATGGGTTGTAAAATTGGCATCTTTTAATTATGTTCCATTTTATTATAGGCTTGTTACCTGCATTCTTATATTTCCAGATTTCTTTGGAAAGTTCCGTATCATTTCAGTACCTTGTTGCATTAAAGGATTTAAAGTGGTTTGCAAGTTTAAGCTTGAATGTGTTTTCGCCAATACTTGTGTAAGATTTTTCTGTAAGACTGGGATTAGGCAATGTTACAGTGGCTTGACTAAAGTCTATCAGCTCATTAAATAACCAATGTCTATCAAAATTTTTTGATAGACATTGGTTATTTAATGAGCATGTGGTTTTCTTAATGAAGTTGCCGATGAGTTTGTTGCACAAAACTTGTTGGTTGTGTGAATTAATAACTGATTGAATTTTTGGTACAATAAAATAAGAGAAATACAATAAAAGTTAGTTTACTTTTATTGTATTTCTGTTGAAAATTTTGCAGAGCTTATGAAATAATGGAAAAAGTAAGTCAATTAAGTTTAAGAAAAGGTATACAACATTTTTGCCAAATACAGGGTTAAACCATACAGTATTTTGTTTTCCTTTATTAGTATTTATTTAATATAAGGGTTTAGATTTGAATAATATTGTAGAAATAATTTAGTAAAATACTTCTTAATTTTTTCCATTTTTGGACTACTTGCGTCTTTAAACCATCTAAGTAAACACAGCTAAACCATCATCTCTATATAATCCAAAATCACACTTGATATAAAATTGAAAACTCCCTCACCTCTGCTCCATCAAAACTATGGTAACATCAATCATACCGCTCAATTTTTTTATCCAAACTTGATCATTGGTAAATAGTAAAAATTTTTGTGTTGGGATATTGAAAGATTTATGCATTAAAAGTAATGTATTGCTCTGCAAAATGAGTCGATAAGTAGCTTTTCATTAATAGAAGGGTAAAATTCAACAATGTCAAAATTAAGGTCTTTATAAAAATGTTTGTCATTGATGTTTTTGAGCCAATTTATTACATTTTGTGTACTACTCCACTGATTTAAATGAAAAGTATTTCTTAGCTTGATGTTAATATCAGATAAAAAATGTTTACTTATTCTACCAACTCTATTCTTAGCTGAGTTAATCAGGCAAACAGTAGGGTAATTTGAAAAAATTGGTTTATGGTCATGTTATTGGAAATTTTAGTGTAATGAAACAATTGAAAAACGTCATAATTTTTTAAAATAGTATTTTCTTCTTTATTAATTTGATCTTTTAGTATAGGGTTGGTTTTTTTATAATTAGATGCAGCGTTCATTAACAACTTATTGTACTTGTCATTAACAACTTATTGTACTTGTCATTAACAACTTATTGTACTTGTCATTAACAACTTATTTGTCAAAAATCACTTACACTTATGCAGATAAAACATCAATTTATCAAAAAATTAATACAATAAGTTATTAATGAATGCTACTAAATCTAATTATAAAAAAAAACCAACCCTATAATAAAAAAGATCACATAAATAAAGAAACAAAAACTATGGGGTGGTATGGGCACCCAAAAAAAAGTGCCTAAAAAATTATATTATTTGTTTTTGTTTTTTTGGTTTTTCATTAATAGTAAAAAAAAACTTTTTTTGAATTTCAAATGCAGTAGTAACTACTTCATTTTTACTTAAAGAAAATATAATGAATTAAAATGAACAAAAGGAGGACTTGTCCTCCTTTTTTATTCTTTATCCTCTGTCTGGCAGGTGAAGCTGAAAGCATTAAAAATCTCTGGCTTTTTAATATATTAAGTTTTTGATTCTTTTATATGCTTTTTTTTTTTTATATGTATATTTCCATATTTAAATTTATTCTTAAAGCTATTCTTAAAACTGCGTTATTGTTAAAGTTTTTTGATATTCTATTCTATAATTAAAGTGTCAAGTTCCACTTATAACTCTGTGCATTTCACTTTTCCAATTACATTGCAACATTTATTTAGTCTTAATTCATTCATTTATTTGTCAAATAGTTTGACAAACAAAAAACGCAATAATACAAGTTTGAACATAAATTTCATTCCATTTAAAACTGTTGTCAAAACTGTATAATTTTTCGAGTTCTTTTGTTGTTCTACAGAACAGCAAAAAAATTTTAAAACTTAAAAAAGTATAGATCTATTTTTTTTAAATTAAAACGTTTTTAACTCAGCACATTTTGCCTTGGTCAGTTTTTGCTTAGGCTCTTATAGCAACAACAGCACTTAAATTGAGTTCCAACTTTAATAAAAATTACTTCAATTTCTAGAGAGAGAAAATGCAAGTTCTCAACCACTATTAAAAATAACTAATAAAATAATTCATGCTTTGCTAAAGGGCACAACGAAAATGAGGCAAAGTATATGATTTATGATATTTATTTGTCCCTCGCTAACAAAATAGCTACTGATTTAGAGCACTATGTTAACAGCCATAAAAACCTAATAAAAGTATCATTTTCATCAAATAAGTTGATGTCCTTTTTTCACCTAAAACTCATAGATATTGCAGGAAGCCTACACATATGCATTTTTATCAGAGACACAAATCAATGAGTAAAGGTGATTAGGGTTACCTGGAAAATGAGTTATAAAGTTAAGTATTTTGAATAAGAGATTGAAAAAGGTACAAAATTTGAGTTTTAGAGCCAAAAAAGGGTCAGTGGAACTAAACCCATTTAGTGTGATGAAAACTAAAGTCACCATTAATAACAATATTGTCTTATGGATATTGAAAAAGATTATTTAAAAAGTTTTTTTAATAGAAATGTTTCATATTTCTCTGTGGGTTCATTGCTCAGTCTAGTTTAAGCACTACAGATTACCATCAAATATAACAAAAATATTAATCTATGTTGGATAGAACTTTTGGCTAGTGAGCAACGAATTATTATATGCCAACACTTTTTCAGGGAACCTACATATGCGCAACATAAAAACACTTTTTTTGAACTGTCTTAATTAAATGTTTGATACTTTCTCATACTTTATATTATCTATAAACAATACTTTTATGTGTGCTTTTCTATTTATTTTTTATGTGTACTTACACAACAGAACTACCGCTACATATATAATTGCTGTCTCCACAAAAAATGTGAAAAATGTTTCTGGAATATGTCTGAGCTAGCCTTTAGAACCAGATGATGTTCTTTTTTGATGTCATCATTAAATGTTACACATTGCTCAATTGAAATTGAAAATTTCAATTGAGCAACGTGTAACATTTAATGATGACAGTTCAAAAAACTTTTTTTGAGCTGTCATCATTAAATGTTTGATACTTTCTCATACTTTATATTATCTATTTTGTGGTTTCCTATTAGAATATAATAACTTTTATTATTTTATATTATCATTTATTTTTTATTCTATTGTTTTTTGTTATTTTTGTTAAAACTTTTATTTATAAAATTTAATTTATTTTTCCAGATAAATTAAATATTGACTAAAATGAAAGAAGTTATAAAAAGAAATTATAGTTGTTCTATTAAAACTAGGAGAATTTGTTACCTCCTTAAATTTGTTACCTCCTTAAATACCCCATCAATGATCTACCGATAGAGAGCTTCCTACCATTAGAAACTGTTTGAGGTTCTAATATTTTTTAATATTACGTTTGAAAACTTAACTAAACATAAACATTCTCTTTAATTTTAATTTATGTAACTCAAAACTAAGTTTAAAGTCTCTTAATATAATTATTTTTTGCAAGATACTATTTATATATAAAATCAGATGAAAGCTATAAATTCAAGCAGAATGGAGAAAGAAAAGAAGAGAGTTCAAAAAATGTATCTGTTACAGAAGAAGCTAAAGTTTCTGAAAATAATTACACCTGAGTAATTGGTTTCTGAATATGATTCAGTTGTCTCAGAGTCTAATTATGTTTCTTTCTGTCAGATCAAGAAGAACAAGATTCATTGAAAATCTTTTTATCAGCTCTTCATAGAAACCAATATGTAAGCATTGAGAAACAGGGTATTTTTATCAGAAATGAAATCACAGAAAAGTTAAAGGCAAAAGAACAATGTTGCGCATTGACAATAAACTTGTGAAGAATCATTTTATACTAAACTTAAAAATATCTGAACAGAGACCTCTAATGAGGTTAACTTAAAAAATATATCTATCTTTGATTGGAGCACTCTAGCTTCTGGGTCAATTTTTGTGTAAAAACCAAAGAAGCCCTAACCTACTTGACTTGTATGTGTAACTTATGCTAGAAGTGTTTTCCACAAGTTAGTTAAGTCAAGTATATTCCTCTTAGAGAGAGAGTTATTTAGAACTTTAGATTCCTGTAGTCTGGTGCAATGCACGAGGGAAGATTCCTTACTGATATATTTAACCTTACTATACATTTTAAAAATTGAGATAATCAAAGTTATACACAAGATATTAACAGTAGATGAAGAGGAAAGGTTTAACGATGCCAGCTTCTTCATAAGTGTTATATATATATCCTATGGTTTCTTAAAATTAGAATAGCAGCCTTTGCTCCAAGATGCATCTTGGAGGGGTGAAAAGACTCTTATAAGCTTTTGCTCTAGAAAATATAAAGAACTAGGGACTGCTCTAATAAAAAGCATAAAACAACATACAG